AAATTGTTACCATTAAAAGTCAATAGCCGCAGCTGCCACCGAGATTGGTACGAACGACCGAATGAACAACATCAACATCAACAACAACAACAAAAACAACAGCAATCATCATCTTTGTCGTCGTTAATCTTACAAAATTCTATCAAATCTATTTCATCGATAACGAAAATACAATTTGCCAATCTAATACGAATCGATCATCAATCGTGTTGTGTTTATAATTGTGATGATTATTATGATGGTGATATTGTTGTGATTAAAAATTCAACCAGTGCTAATAATAATAATAATAATAATAATAAATTTAATTATCAAAACAACGATAACGGAAATTGTTTATGTGGCAATCGATTTGATTATTGCCAATATCATCATCGTAATCATCATCATTCGAAAAAAATCTCATCAACTGATACGATCATCATAGATAATATTCAAAATGACCTCGATTATCCCAAATTAGCTGAAACAAATGAAAATTATCAATGTCAAAATAATCAAATTAATAATTACATCATTCAATTTGATTCATTTGAATGTAATAAATGTTTTTTGGCCAGAAATAAAACAGAACCGAAAAACGAATCAAACATAAGGTAAGTCAGATTGAATTTTTGTCAAATTTATCCACAAAACTATTGACAAAGTATCATCGATTTCCTTGAATTAAGAAAAATTGGTTATTTTATGTCTTAATTCGTTTAGTTTGTTCATTGTGTGTGAGTTTGTGTTAATTTTATCCCTCGTTTTATTATCCAATTTACAATCCATCAATGCTATCAATGACTTTTTTGCTTGTTCTTCAACTCTCTGGCTCAAATCCCCCCAAAAAAAGCATTCACCAGATTTACAATTTTTTGTGTTGTTGTTGAAAACTAACGTTAAAAATGTCCTAATTTTCTATTCCCATCATACTAATTCATTGAAAGCCAGTTTTTCTGTGTTGTAACAAACAAAAATTTCATACAAATACAACAATAACAAAATTAACAAACATTGATTGGTATACAATTTTCTGTTTTTGTTGTTTGTTACATTAAATCCAATTAACAATTAAATAAAAGAAACTTTTTTTTTTATCTTTATCAACCAAAAACCAACAAAAAAAAAACAAACGACAATTATCCTTATGATATCAACAAAAAATTATATCTTTATTCATTAACAATGTCACCAATGTTAGATAACATTGATTGAATATGAAATTAAATCTTATAATAAAAAAATGAAATTGTCCACAAATGAATGATTTGTTTAGTTTGTTAAAATTAGGCTAGTAGCAATTATTATTATATAAGATTTTATCTTATACATTGGTTACACGCCTATTTTACTATACCTATAGTAAATGGTTGAGTGTATGATGAAATTTCTTTATCTATCTGCAAAATGATGATAATATTATATATGATAATAATTTAAATCCAATTTGGCTTCACAATTTATGATCTTGATTTTTTTAAATTTTATCTATGATGTATGAGGCTTTTGTTTTGGTTGTTTTTCCTCTTCATATCACGATGGTCACGAGTGAGTGGTCGGTTATGATACTCTTCAAATTGGCCAACATTCATCAACATCGATATCAAGTTTTGTTATTTCTGTTTTTGTTGTTATTGATGTTGGGTCATTTGACGACCCAAATTTTGCTTGGAAATTTCATTTTTTTTATTTGAGCAAACAAATATGAAGAAAAAAAACCCTGATATGATTTAATACATGATTAGAATAATAATTTCTTATTCTGTTTCTTATCAATATAATTTTAAAAAAACTGTAGATTATATAGATTGAATGGGGCAATAAAAAAAATTTCCTAAATGATTGGTTTCGTGAATGTCATCTTTTTTTTCATTATTAATGAAATTTAGATTTTGTTGTCGTCATCATCATCATCATCGTTTGTTTATATTTGAATGGCCAATATATTCATCGATCAAATTGATCGAAAGAAAAGATGACCAGACCATCAACCTTTTTTTTGGTCTTGTAGTATGTATCGGTACAAACAACCTGTTGCTTTTTTTGAATACCATATTTGGATATTTAAATATGATAACCAATCTTTCGTATGTTTCGTATATACTTAGCTTGTTTTTTTTGTTTTCCGTTTGTTCTCCCCATAATCATTCGAATATTTTTGGATACAATCAAATTAGAATGATGAATGATGAAATAAAAAAACGGATCAATATAGATAAATCGATAATGATCGACTATAGAGATTTGTGTGAAAAGAGCAGGAAAAAAAACATTTGAGCAATGATTATGATCATGATAAAAAATACCCGTTTCATGCAAATTCAATTATCATTATCGATATTTTTATTGATAAATCTTTGAATTTAATTTCGATAATAATAATCATTCTCATAGATGATGGTCATGAATTTTTTTCTTTGTTCTCTTCATTTATAATCAAAAATTAGCACACACACACAAAATAAAAACACGAAACATTTCGATCAAAAACAAAATAAAAACATGATTCAATGAATAAATAATGATGCGTGAAATGAGAAAAATGTTTGACTTTTTAACCACTTTGTGATCATCATCATCTCCATTGAAAACAATAACAATTTTCAATGAATATTATTTTGTTTTTTTTGATTTTATGTTGTTACAATTTCCAATAACGATATACGAATTGAAATTGTTTAATGTTTTCTTTTTCTTTTTCGAATCATTTCCAAATGGATTATCTTGGTTCACAGGAAAATGAAAAACTTCTCTTTTTTATTCATCCTTGTGTCATTTCATAGCATTTTATTTTATTTTCATTTTTTACTATTTGAAAAGAAATGACAAACAAAACATATCATCCATAACAATGAAAATGATGAATTGAAAAATGAAACTGTTTCAGCAGAAAAAAAAATTCTTCACATCCGATCCTTTAAAAAGTACGTGCACGTAAATATTTCAGACATTTTGGTACAACAACAAAAAGAAAAGATTTTTTTTTCTCCAAAATATGAATCATCTTTATAATAATAATGATTATATAGCAACAGTTAACCTCATCACGATGATGATACATGTTGTATTTATCTATGTATGTTTGTATGTATGTATGTGTATGTTTATTCATCACAGGTAAACCCGATGAAGACTATCATCATCATGATAATAATAAAAATGATCTATTCGACATTTTTTTCTCTTTTTCTTCTTCATGATGAAAATAATTCGAATGTTTGTGTGTGTGTGTGATCCTCCTTCCATTATAATTATGATGATGATTTGTCATAAATAAAGTGTTATAGTCAAATAGAGAACAATACTGTATATATTCCTTTATACAGATTTCAAATGTTTGATTATTATAAATATATACAACAAAATATCTTTGATAATTTATTCCAATATAAAATTATTGTTGAGTTTGTTAGTCGATAATAATAATAATGATATTACATGTCACATCATGTTAGATAGAAACGTTGAGAAAGAGAAAAAACAACGCAAAATTTTACCAATTTGTCAAGAATCATATCATAAAGCTTATGTTGTTGATATTTTGATCCAATATCAGTAAAATTGTCAAATCATTCAATTCATTCTAAATTTTGATTAACAATGAATGACAACTGTATTTATTTATTTTTTGAGATATTCATTTTAAATACGATGATTGTTAATATTGTTGTTTGGAGATTATTTTTTTACAAAAAAAAATCTCATGAATAATGCCTATGTCAAAAAATAATTGTGTTGAAAATTCATTTATAAACAATGAATGAATGATGATTATTGAAGCCGACATTTATATATCGATATAATATTGACAATTTAAAAAATCAATTCATCAATATATCGATTCGATCAGTGTTTTGTTTGTTTTGTTTTTAATCAAATAAAGTGCTCAATCAATTGGATTTGGTTTTGGTTTTCAATTTGGTTTGGCTTTTTTTTCTTATTCATAATGATTTACTAACGACTTACTAAATAAATGTTTAGTATTTTTTGCTGTGATTGTTTTTTTTTCCAATAAATAAATTCAAATTAATGTGATTAAAATGAATGCCTCTAGTGATCAAATCATGATGATCGAATCAATTGACCATTTTACAATCATCATCATTACGATACGTTAATCATTAAATGATTTTTATTAAATTTTCAATTTAAATCAACGATAAAATGATGATTGAACAGAAAAAAAATAATCGCTTAGTAACAACAACAACCACAATCTTCTTTTGACCATTTATCCGGTATTAATAGAATGTTCAAGCCGATTTCATTCATTGTCATTTATTACAGTATTGGTTCATCATTGATCGATTATTGATGCTATTTTCAGCTAAATTTTATCAACAACAAAAAACGTTTGAAACGAAAAATTTAATTTTTTTTTTTTCATTTACCTCATTCAATTGTTTTTTTTGTTCTTTTTCAAATGATTATCCTCATCAAAGAAAAAGTAATAATTTTGAGTAGAAAAATTAAATTATTTTTTTTTTGCTTGCAGCAATTTCCTTTTTCCATCCACATTTAATCCAGATTATCTTTTTTTTCTTCGTTGTCAAAATTTAAAACGATATATACACAAACATCAGTTTAATCAATTGCGGTTAATATAGCCGTATTTGGTAGGTTGTTTTCTGTCATTAGTTACTTTGTAATATTGTAATTCATTAATGAGATAAAAATATGAAGATAATTTTAGATTAAACATTTTTTTCAATATATTACCATCAACCATTCAAGGATTAGTGTGTGTTTGTGTTTGTGTGTTAGTGAGAAAATGAAAACTCTTTTTGGATCAGTCAAGCAAATCCATTTTATTAATAATGATTGTTATTTTTGATAACGATCGTATTCTTTAATTTAAATGTATTTCAAATAAATTCTAAAATATTATTTTTTTTTACTTTTAAAAACTTTAAACAGAATTATCGCCAACAACAACGACAACGAAATTGTTCATTTGATTTGTTTACGTTTATCATTTCCAAAATCTATAATTGAAAATCAAGAAATACAAACACCATTTTCTGTTGTTGTCCAAACAAATAATGACAATTTAAAAAATCAATTTTGCAATGTTAACGCCGAAACAACAACAAAAACAGCAACAACACATCGATTACAGTTGGATGAACTTTTTGAAACATTCTTGTCAAATAATAATGATGATAATAATAGAAAACATTCAATTATTAAAATCATAAACGATAAAGGTTGTCATAGTTGTCATCGACAAACATTTGATGAAAATCATTCAATACGATTGCCAATAGATATTTTTTCGACAACGATTATTTTGTGTGATAAATATAGTGAACATTTTATAACCATTCCTTGTGTATTGACAACGATTGAAATCGATAAACAACCGGAAAAAATGGTGGATGAAAAATCTGTTACACGTGTATTGAATGGTAATGTTAGGAATGGTGGCGGTGTTAGTGGACATTATCATCGTAATGGATCATCCAATATGATGAATAGTAATGGTAAAATTAACTATCAACGGTCCCATCATACAAATGGTTGTATGACCATAAATAGTAAAACATCAACGGCAAATGGATTCCACAATAATAATTCATCGTCAACAATGATTAATAATAAACAACGTCCATCATCCGTATCATCATTATTATCAAATTCTGATTCATCATATTATTCATCAAATGATTCAAATACAAATAGTAGTGGTAGTGGACAAAGTACTGATTGGTCTTTAGATACAGATGGTGATAGTAGTAGTAGTGGTGATTATGAATATGGACCCGGAATTGTACATCGTTTACGTCATAAATTTATGACATTATCAACTAAACAACATCAGAATAATCAACAAAATCGATTACAGAAAAAATGCCTTTCAAGTGTTAATGTATCAACATTGATAAAACGTTGTACCAGTTTGGAAGAGTTGACATTTGAACAATTTAAACAACAAATGCAACAACAAACAATGAATAAAACAACAGATATTAAACAACAAGAGTCAATAACCGCTGTGAATAAACGTCTAATTAATAATAATCATTGTAATAATAATCATCATCAAATGGTTAATGGTACGAAGAAAAAGCTATTATTCATGCAACAACAACAACAACAGAATCTATCACAACAACAGATGTCAACGACTAATGGCCATTATCATCAAAAGCAATCACAACAACAATCGAATAATCTTAAGAAAAAGAGCTTACCCCCACCGATAGTGAACAAATCTTTTTCAACAACAAATTTAAATCATCGAACAACGACATCATTATATCCAACGAATGTTGTGCAAAAATTCGTTGAAAATGTTCAACAAAATAAGTTGAAAAAACCACCGCCGCCACCACCACAACGAATTAATTCGTCATTATCAACAACAACAACAAAAACATTGACCAATAATGGACGATTGTGCAATACTAGTTCTAGCAGTACTAATCATTGTCAATTATCATTAATGTCCAATAATTCAACTTCAATAGCATCAAATATTGCAACTGCAACGACAACAATAACATCACCTGCGGCCATTTTATCATCAATGAATATTCAGGCAGAACAGCAACAAAAAGAAATAGGTAGCCGACAACATCCTCATGATTACCTTCATACAGCAACAACAATCAAACAAAATTGTTTTATTCAAAAAAATGAAATTTCAAATAATGATAATGCTACTTCTGCTGCTACAATATCATCATTAAATTCAGGCGATGGATACATGAATGGAACAGCAATGACGACGACAACGGCGACCACTGCATTAATGAGCAATGATATTGATTCATCACAAACATCAACTACCACCTCATTATCATCAACATCAACAACTTCAAATATTTTATTATTAAGTACACCACAGCCATATATCAAACGTGCAAAAAGCGTTGAAACATTATCATCAACAACAACATTGAATAAATCTGCAATTGATGATGATGAGAATGGAAATGATCAAGAAATGTTGAATGAAAATGTTGATTCTGAATCTTCAACATTATCATCATTAACATTGAAAGAGGATGAGCCCATATTACCAACAGAAATCATTGATTCATTCAATCATTCACAACAACAAGGTTGGTATAATGATTTAATCATTTTTATTATTTTAAAACGAATCGATTCCATTATTTTTTTACGAATTGTCAAATTGTGGACATTTTGTTTCTAATTTTTGCATATTTTTTCTGTTTTTTAATAAAATCACTACAAAGATAATTTAAATGTTGACGTCGGCGATAATATTCAACAACGGCAAGTATTCATTGATGATCATAATAAAAAACAAATAGCGAATGCCGTCAAAGACTTGGCAATGACTTCATTAAAATCAAATACTTCTGCCATAACACCAGCAACTAGTTCGACTTTGAATCTGAATCCTGTTGCTGATCATAATACTTCTGCTTCACAATCAACAAGTTGTAGCAATGATAATGATGATGATGTTGTTGATGATGGTGCCTGTTGTGTTGTTGGTGATAATGTTAATAAACTAGTTCACGAAGAAACTCGACAACTTGAACAACTTGAACAACAACAAAAACAATCGAATGTATCAAATATTGTCGATAATAACAATGATTGTTTGCACGACATTCAACAACAACAGATAACAAATCCATCCAAACCATTGGAGGAAAATCTGATCAAATTAACGAAAATCGATAATGAACAAGATATTGATATACTTGAAAAACGAAACATACGTATTCAATCACCTCACCAACAACAACAACAAGAAACAACAATGACTACATCGATTTCAACAACAACAAAGACAACTATAATAACAACCCGTTCTTCATCAAATGAATTACCGAAACCAGATACAGTGAAAACAGTGAAACGTATATTTGAACATCAGAATAATAAGTCATCTTCTAGTCTTTCACCAACATTCAAAATAAATAGTAATTATAATCAATCAAAATCTTCATCAGTGATTAATGAACGTAAAGGAATTGTTTCAAATAAATTTTCAAATACTTTAGCATCATCAACAAAAACATCATCATCAATTAATCAAAATCGATCAAACACAAAAACAACAGTGACTAAAACAAATGCAAATAAACCAGCCATAGCATCACGACAAAATCTGCCACAAACTATTGCCAAACAACGTTCAACAGGTAAATCAAATTCATTTGAATTCCTGAAATTCTTTATCAAATTCAGTTTTTTAACTTTGTTTCCTTTTCATTATATTGATACGTATGTTCATGAAAAAATCAATCAGTTCGAAAGTTAAAATATATTTATTTAATTAGTTTTTTTTGTTCATTTACTCTTTACAATGGCAAATACAGTTGATAAAAAATTGTATGTTTTTGTGTCAGTGAATACCATTCAGTCTGAACTCATTCCGTTTGTTATATCTAATCAAACAGATGATTAGGATGATGTGGAGAAAAAAATCCAGTCGGTTAATTGATGAAATTTTCCGTTACCATCGTTGTTATTATTGAAAAATGATCGATTTTTTTCATAGCTTTCATTCTATCTTAGTTTTTTTCCATTGATTTGATTGATCGATCTTTCGATCAATGATAATAATAAGCAGGTAATAAAAAGATTTCAATTATACGATCAATTTATTCACGGTCTATTTTGTTTTGTATGCACGTTTCGGTTTTTTTCGACCGATTTTTATTATTATTATCATCATCATCATTTTCATCATTATTAAGATGATTAAAGATTGATGAAGGAAAAAAAAGGATTATTTCTTTCTTTCTTTTTCTGGCTATTATTGGATCATCATTGATCATTTTTCCCTTATACTGTTGACCCTTTTTTTCCAATGAATAACATTTTGATGTCAATGATAGTCAAATTTATACATTATTCAAATTGATGAAGATAAATTGGGTGCCATCTATATCATCACGATTTACATAATAATTTGTTTGTATGTTGATGTTATGTGTGGGTGGTTTTTATTGTTAAAGAAAACAGAAATTATATCTTGAATTATCCATAACCTTCATGGAATTTATAATGATTTCATTCTCTCTCTTACTTTTTGTCCCAAATCAATTCAATGTATTCAAGGCTAAAATGTTGTTGTCATCATCATCATTTGCGATCATTATCGATTGTTTTGAAATTGACAAACAGAAGCTCTATTTATAATAACGACAATCGTTTTTCGGATAAAATTATAATGCAAAGTCTAATGAAAAGATTCGTTCCATGGAAAATTACTTTAGGAAAAACTAAATCCTATTCTTCATCGAGATATTCAGAAATTGTGAAAAACAATGATACGGAATTGTTTTTTTTTCTTCTCCCTACAAGGTCAATAAATGAATTTTACTTTGTACAATTATTTATTTAAATTGGAAATGGCTATTTTTATTTGTGTTTTTTAAGAAAAACAGTAATTCAATTTTCATTTTCATTCCATGCAAACAAAAGTTGAAGATTTTTTATTTCAGAAAAAATATGTCCTTGTCGATTTTTTTTTTGAATGAAATCATTTTTTTACCGAGATTTCCCAATTTTTATGGGTTTTTTTTAATTTCATTTAATATTTAATACATTCATACACAGTTCAATCAGGAAGCTTTTTTTCATTCAAACTCTGTCATCTTTTTTTTTGCATTTACTAACTTGTTTCGATCGATGTATTTAGATGATAATATGAATACTGATTTTAAGTAAAAATTCATAAAATGTAATTTTTTTGCAACGACAAGTTTTCTAAAATCATAATCCAATGGAAAAAAACCAGTCCGGTTGGAAAAAAATTGTATAATAGCAATTATTTTGAACGTAGGTGATAAGATGAACGAAATTAATTTTAAAACTTACTGAACATTTCATATCAATCGATTGCATTATGATGATGATGATATCCTCAATTTAGATCCAACCGATCATCATCACCATCAACACAATAACAACTAATTAGAGACAGAGAGAGCGAAAACGATTTTTCTTATATCGCGAATAGATCACGATCTGTAAATGTTTTGATAAAAATGAAAATAATTTTTTGATTTCGAATCACACACATACAACATGATCAACGTATTAGACCAATTTCATATTTGCAATCAATCCATCTTGACCAATGATTATTATCATTGGCTTGAATGAAATGAATTTTCTTATCAAAAAAAATATTCATATAATAATAGTACGGTAGTGATGTTGAAGATCTAGAAAATTTTTTTAATGTAAAATTCTCAATTATTAAATCCACTATACTTTCTTCTATTGACCACATTTTTCATAACTAACTATCTATTTTATACATAAATGAAATGTGTGTTTGTATTCATTTCATTTAATTTGTTCGTTTATTTTTTATGAAAAAAAATGAAATTATAAAAAATAAATAAATAAATTTCCTCACGCAACCTGTCATTTTAGGGTTTTTACATGTGTATGTGACCAAATGTGATTACATAGTGGTAATGATAAATTTATATATAATTTCTAAACTCAAAAAAATATAATATGAAAAAATTACTTAGGTTGAATGGACAACATTCAATTCGACAACTGAAAAATAATCAAATTTAAATAAAAACTAAAATTATGTGCACCAAAAAACAACATACTCGGGAAAAAAAACTCGTGAGATATTTTTTTTCTATTCGGACATTTTATTATTGTATACAGTGAACAACAAATGAAAAAAAACAATCATTTAAATACCATTTTAATTCTGTATTCAAACAATGAATGTATAAAGGTTTCACATGTCATATTATAAGGAAATTGCTTTCAGTAATGAACAGGTAGTTATTCTATTTTTTTTTTCTGATCCTGATGATGATGTTGATGACAATGAAGAAAGAAAATAGTAATGTGTGACGACAGTAGCGGTGCATAAAAATAGCTATGATGTTTGGGAATTTTTTTTCTTTTTTTGTGACGAGAAAATAGAAAAGAAAAATTGTCCCATTTTTTGTTTGATTGCCCCCGGTATTTTGATCAGATTTTTGTTCTTTTCTTATATTGTTATTTAGTTTATTTCATTAATTCAATTTTAAATTTTTTTTCAAATTATATCCTAGAATCAACATTAAATCGAAATGTAAATGGTACGACAATTAATCGATCAAATGGTATTTGTACAAATATTGTTGGATCATCTAATCGTGGATCGACAAACAAAAGTTCGACTATTAATGGTGTTAGTGGTGGTAATAAAAAGCATTATCCAGCACCAAAACCACCCAAAGCAAGTGATCAACAAAGACTCAATGATGAAAAATCTATTGTCACAACGGAACTTAGTTCTTTAATTTCAACACAAGAAACAATATCAAATAATTTGATCAACTCAGCAATAAGTGATTCGTTGTGTAATAATAATAGTCAAACAAAACTATCGCAGACCAAAGACAATAGCAATCCTGTTTTCAAAGATACATCCGGTTTTGAAGACGATAACAACAACAACAACAATGATGATGAAAACAACAAGATTGACAAAATTAATGATAATGGCGTCATGGCCAAACAAAGTGATAGTAATCAAAAGGACGACGAATTGTTTCCTGTAAATGGTAAACAATACGATGAGAATAAATCAGTAGAAATTATAACGGAAAAAATTGACAATGTTGTTGATTTATTAGTCGAAACGCAAAACGAACATTCACATTCATTCTCAATGAATTCCAAATTACAAACAAATTTGAAAAAACCTGTGGCCAATATTCGTCCATTTAATTCTACAACAGCAACAGTAAAAAATGTACAATCAAAAGAATCTGTAGTTGATAATAATGATAGCCTAAAAGAATCATCACCGATCTCTTCGAATAAAAAAAATTATAGTCATGAATCATCATCGATTGATGAACCGATCAAAACATTAAAACCGAGCTTGTTACAACAAAATCGCAATTCATTGACAAATGGCCATCATGATAATATTGATTCTTCATCATCATTATCATCGTCAATAGCAAAAAGTACACTTTGGTCAACAAATCTCAAATCATCGTCAACAACAACAGCTACAAATTCGATAAAATCAACCACAGTACAGAATGGATGTTCATCAATGGTGTTTGATTTTCGTTCAACAAAAAATATTAAGCCAAATATTGCCATACAGCCGACACCATTTGGTGCCAAACCGATACCGAAACGTCTTATAAAAGAACTTGTAAATGGAAATGGTAACCATAATCAACGATCATCTGTGATTAACAATAATAATGATACGGATGATGAAGATGATAATAATTATTCTGGAATGACTGAAATTCCACCACCATGTGGTATTATATTTATTGGTGAAAATATGATCATTAGTAATGGATCATTGATGATAAAACGTAATAAAAATGTAAGTACATAAGATATTTTATTTTCTCTTTCTAAATCACTTGATAATAATACAAATAACATTGATCAATTGAAAAAAGAAAAAAAACCGAATTTTATTTCAAATGGTCATCATCATTTGCATCGTAGATCTTCTTAAGTGATGATGATGATGACATTCGTTATGGATCAAAAACTCATTCAATCGATTTTTCAATTCGATCAAATAGATTTGTTGACCTCAAAACATGTGCACCCATTACAATTGATGATGTTCATGTTTTTGTTGTTGTTGTTGTTGTTGATGATGATTTGTGTGAATAATTGAATTTGAATGTATTTTGATGAGTTTAAACAAATGAAAATTCGAACAAAGAAAATCAAGTGATTTGATTCATACTGGGATTGATATATAAAGATTATTTTAGATTTATAATGCTCATCAAACACAATATATATTGTTTGACCTAGATTTGAAATTGTAAAGTAAAGGGTGAAAGATATATATATTCATCTTCATATTCCACTTTCCCGGTGATATTCTTGATGTTTGTTTTCACATATTTCATCATCCATCTTATCATTTTATTCAAAATTTTATACAATTCCCATAATCAATCATTTTCATGGACAATGGAAAAAAAGAGATTCAGAAAACAAGTAATGTTTTCATTGTAGTTTGATGAATCAAAAGTGAAAAATAAATAAATTCTTCGATCACCATTTGGGGTTGAAAAGCTTGACGGCGGTAATGACCTAGTTATTTACATTCAGTTAAATGTTTCTTTTCATCATTCTTGTTATCATTAACTTCACTACAAATAAGTTAGACAGTGAAGATTTTTCTTTGTCATTTCATAAGTAAAATAGATAAGAAAAATTGAAAATAATTTTCTCATGTCTGCTTATATTTTGCGATGTATTGCAACGTTTTGGTATCATCATTTTCAAATAGCCCACGTGTTTTATGTTTAGAATCATATGACAGAGAGGATTATAAATTCATCATTGCCATCATCATTTTGAGCTGAATGTTCGTGTATATAATTTGTTTTTCTTGATTTTCTTCCATATATTATGACCAATATTGGACATTTCTTTTTTTTCAAATTTCATATGAATTACATAAACAAAATAATTGTTTCATAATATTCTCTTTATATATTCAACAGCAGTGTGTGTACGATAGACCTTTTTTGGCTACCAAGGAATTAAAATTCGATACAACTATGATAATAGATTCCAAATATGTTGAATATAGAAAAAATTAGTAATTTTCACTCATAAATGAAATGGTTAGTTTCAATGAAATGTTGATCATTGTCATCATTATGACCGACCATTCCAAAAAAAAAACAATTTTTTTGGCCTGATTTAGTTTCATTTTTTTCTCTTCTAACTTTGTATTTTGTTACAATGATGATGATGATGATACAAAAGAAACAAAACAAAATGAAACAAATCATTTCCAAAATGGATTCATAATTCAGTCATTTTAACTGAAAATTTTTTACCATTCAAAATTTCTAGGCATCATCATCTTGGAAGTCATTTGAAATTGCTATTGTCGACATGATGATGATGATGAATTTGTTGTTATGATTTTGTTGTTGTTTTGTCCTATTACATCATAACTTTTGAAAATGAAATGAATTTCTTCGTTATTTTTAAAGTTATGATTTTATAAGGTGTTGATTGTTGTTGTTGTTCTTCTTCTTTTTCAATTCGAGTCTTTCAATTTTATTTTTTAAAAGACAAAAAATTTTTTAACAACCTTTGATCAAAAGAGGATGTGTGTTCAATAAGATCAACATGGGAGACAACAAAACAGAAAAAAAAACTGGAACAAATAACTTTGCATAGAAACTTTTTAAATAACAACCATGTATGTTATGTGAACAATTCAAGATTGAATGATTCAAACTGATTTTTTTTTGATGATGATTGCTTAGTATAGATCCATTTTAGGCTTCTGATTGAGATTTTTTTTTAAAAGATATATCTCTTGATCCATTTTGATAATCACATAATCATAATCATATTTATAATCAAAATCAGCACCAAATCATTTTTGTTGTTGTTGTTGTTGTTATTGTTGTTGACGACGCCCAATCTATTCGATTGATATTTGTTGTTTATTTTTGCTTATAACATTGATGAGGATTAAGATTATCCTTCATTCATTCATGATCGGATTTGTACATTTTCTTTCGGATCATCAACCAAGATGATAACGATTTTTTCAGAACATAACTCAGATTACCAAATTTTTTAAATAAGAAAAATAACGGAAATAATCCAAAAAACATAATATTATGATTTATGATCGTATCATCATCATCATAGAAAAACTTATGAATAGATTATAAGCAAACAAACAAGCTAACGATGGTTATTATTATTATTATTATCATTAAACAATGGAATGAAAAACTGAAATATAATATGAACCAATGATGATGATGATGATGGTAACATGGACATTAATATAGTTCAAACAAATGAATGAATGATATAAATCATATTTCTTCTCTACCAAGATAAGTTCTTTAGAATTCATTCATTGTTTTGCAATATTTACATGACTTTCACTTGTATATGTAATTGGATTTAAAATGATGATAATAGTTTTGTGTTTTTTTTCAGTGAAATTCTTCATGGTTCATCATTTATAATCATATCATTTTTCATTAATAATAATTATTATTATTTATCTTTGTTTTGGGTCAATTTTTTTCACATAGTCATGGTCTAATGGTTTGTTGTTTGTGTTTATAATTATTACAAAATAATTATAAGCAAAACATTTCATTATTTACATATTAAATCGTGTCTTGTTGTCAACACACTTACAAACGTGTAGATTTGTTTGATAAGATTAATTAAAATTTTTTGTAATTGTCATTTCATATAATTTTTTTCTTTATTTTTTACAATAGCTTTCTGTACGTTTTGATAATTCTATCCCGTCGGTATTCGAATATCCAATGGTTGAAGATGATAATGATACAGATGATGATGCTGTTGATGATGGCAAAAATGAACGGAAAACAGATGAATCAACGAAATCAATGGTATCAAATCTGGTCAATTCATTAACTAAATCAGATATAAAAACTCCAAATTCGATTAATGCTACAACCGCTGCCAATGGTGTATTGAAAAAATCATTACCAACTGGTAATTCTATTTCAATTTTATCAAATTTATTACTAATTATTTATTTTTCTTTAAAAATAGGTAACAGTAATCTAGCTTCATATAAACCATCAAAAATGCCCGGACAATCTACATTTGAATTAGGTGTAACAAAAACTGTTCCCAATAGTTTCAACTGTAACACACAACAAGAATCCATTGATGATAACAATGATCACTGTGATAGTATGGGTGATTTTGATAGTTTAAGGCCAATACCAATCAAACCGGCAAGCATTGAAGATACGGTACCATTTTCACGTTCAGCAACTGCTTCGGATTTATTATTTTGATGAAACAACAATAAAATGAAAACAATTTCAAATTTTCCATTTAATTTAAATCAAAATCTAGGCCTTATCATTTAAAGAACATTCCATTTATTGTTGAATTTTATCATTTTTTTTTCTTTTACTTTCAAAATCGATTAATACTTTGTCAATTATAAAATTGGAATATTATGTATCATTGAATTATTTTGTACCATATTATTATCATATTAATGGGATAAATGCATTTTTTTTTGTAATTTTAAAATTATTATTAAAAAAATTCTTTTGAATATTTGAATGATTACATTTCATGTCGACAGGTGGCAATACTGAAACCAAATAATGAATTTCAATTCAATTACGAAAATTCTATAATCGATTAAATGAATATTCAACGAGAACCATCTGTATCAATAAAATTAATCGATCATCATGTTAACTATGATATAATAATCAATATCGGAATTTTGCATTAAACAAGAATGAACTTTAATTATAACAATGAATGTTCATGATGTGAAATGTTTAATCAAATTCAAGGAAAAAAATATGAAAAAAATAATGTTTACATTGTAAATAATAATACCAGAATTAAACAAATAGATAAAACATAGTGCAAATTTGTTTTCTATGTATTTTTGTGTGTGTGTGTGGTAATTCTATACATACATTGTAAATATTTTCACGAAAAAATTATGAAAAGAGTTTTGCATTTTCCATCTTTTTATGTATCTCAATTTCGTTTTCAGCGGTACGATTGGAACTTTTTTCTTTGTGTTTTTTATTAGATAAAAGTATTGCTGGGAATTGAATTCTTTTGTTTTTTTTTCTTGTGAATGCATCATTATTGAACACCATCTATTCTATTGATGTATCGAAATATGTCAAACAAGAATTTTTTTGTTGTTTTTGTAAATATGTATTAGATATTTGTACCTTATGAATACAAACATTTGATATGAGACAAATTATAAGGCTTTTTCTTTGCTTTTTACTTTTCATGATCCAATTGGATTACAATTTGACAGAACAAAATAAAGATTATTTCTCTAAATATTAGAGGAATTTATTGTTTTCTTCTCCAACAAAATTGTAGGAAGTGAAAAAAAAATGTTGATGGAAAAATTTTAAACAATCTGGTAAAAAAAACCAAAATAAAAAAGATAATTAAATACAAAATCAACAATGAGGTTCATCTTTTGGTTTTTTTCACTTTGTTTTTGTTTTTTTTCAATGTCACCAAAAGAATGGAAAAAAAGTTTTCGCCAAAAAAAAACAAATAGTTTAAAAAAAGAATTTCACCGACTCATGTCGCCAACTTCCGTCATTATATTATGCGCTGATCTTGTTTTGTTTTGTTTTAATGAAAATTTTTTGTTTTGTTTTATAAAATTTTCTGCATCCAACAACATGTTTTTCAAAAATTTTCAGAATTTCGTTTCCTTTTTTTTGGACTATCATCAATTCAAATACGAATAATGAACGGATATGTTATGATGGAATTGAATTTCAGAATGTTTTATTGTTTGAAAACAAAATTTCACACAAATGACATAATTATAACATCATTTTTTTTAGACCGGATCTTCGTTATTGTGCCCAACTATATATATAAATAGAACAAACGAGAACCTCGCAATGAATGGAAGCAAATGGGGAAGTAATCTATAACAAATAATCAAGAAAAAAGAATGGGAGTCAATATTTTTTTTATACTGATGATCAGGAATCATTTATCATCAATTTTTCATTTATTTGTCGATATATCGGCTATTTGTTTATTTCATGTCTGTATCTGAAAAGTATTCTTTTCTTTAATTTTCATTGATTCCTGTTTTTTTGGTTTTGTTGTGGTTTTTTTTCATGTCCGAAAATATTATTATTATTATTAGTAATAACAAAAGATCTATATGTTAGATACATTCATATATCTGTTTGTTTCATCATTATATGTCATTATTATTTGAAATCAATTATAATTAATGATTCGACTGAAAATGATTGAATACGTTAAACGTCAATTGATGTAACAAAAATTTTATTGAACAAACTGAAAAGAATATTTTTCACACAAAACACATGGATAGAAAATGTTTCAAATCCAAAGTAAATTCTTCTTTGTTAATAAAGAAGAAGAAGAATATAATGATTAAAAAATCCTTTATATTAATGAATATCATTGTTATTATAATAATTATTTTTTTGCATCTAATAAATATTATGAATAACGGCGAAAATAAAACAATGGAGAGGAAACAAAAAATGATAATCAACTGATAATAATGTGATAATTATACTGGTAATAACATGAATTATTTATTGAATGAATTCTTCCAGAAACCTTGAAATATTAGTTTTTTATTTTATGGGAAAATTTTGTTGCTGACATTTTTTTCCGCACTGGATTCAGTGCAGTTTGTTAACTGAATTTAAAACAACATTCGATAAAGATATTTATTGATTTAATTTAAAATCATTATGTCCAACGAGAAAAAAATCAGAAAATTTACAATGGCAAAAAAGTAAAAATAAAATCATATTTTATGATAGATGGAAAAATGTGATAATAATGGCGACCTTTTACAATGTAATTTGAAATTTCAAAACAGAATTCTTTGTCCCAATTTTGAGTTTTCAATTTTTTTTTGTTTCTAAGCAAATTTTTTCCAAAGAATGATGAAAATTGTGTGTAAATTCTTCTTTTAAAAAAAATTGTAAATGTTTTTCAACAAACTTTGTTCATTGTATTTGAATTTAGGTTTACCAACAATAACAACGATAACGACAGATGTTCTGATTATTACTTTATTATATTTTTTTCCATTTCCCCAAGCTTTTTTTGTTACTTTTTTTCTTTCTTCTTTTTATTTTATTCATTCAAGATGAAATTCTTGAAAAAGTATTAAAAACAATTTGAATTATTCTTGTTACATTTAACATATTACACTTTTTTGCAAATCGATCCAATTTTATCACAGCTTGCACGCGATCCATACCGCAATGCAATGCAAAGAAAAATGATGTTCCAATTTTAAGTTTTCCTTTTTTCAAAGTTTGTATGAAAGAAAACAAACGAAACAATTTCAGACTAAGTAGAAAAGAATAATTATGAAAATTTTGTTTTCCATATTGATTTTATCTATATTACTCTAGATAACAGTTTTGAATTGTTAAAAATAACTTCAATGAAAATTGATTGAAATTTCGTTTTACAATCAATATTTGTTTGCATATGTAAATGATGAATAATCTGATTGGAAAAAAATCTATTCATTGAAATTATTTGATTACAATGGAAAAATGATCCAATACAATCAATTATGATCATAATTAATGAAACAATTTTCTATTCTTTTGGTCATCTTTGATTAAATTGGTTAAAGCCAAAAAAATCATTAAATGAATATTATTAACAAAATTAATAATATGTACGCGTGACTTTTCATCATCCATTTATTGTATGTATTTCTTTTTCTTTTTTTATATTTATGTAATGTCGATCCAACATGAAAGTCATTATATCGTTTGTGATGCTATGAACGCCATGTGCAAAACAAAAAAATACTCAGTGGGTTTTTTTACTATGCATCAAGCACGGTATGGATACCAATATTCTTTTTGTACATTCTGAATCGCGTCCCGAACACATACACACAAACACTTGCACGCATATAATTTGATTCTTTGCAACATTCATTTAGTTTGATGTTAGCAACTGATCCTGTATACGATGTTTGGCCGATCTGTCGTTTGGTTGGTTAGTTTAGATTGTGTAAACATTAAAGAACCCAAAAGCAAACGATAAACATTATTATTGAAAATCTGTTGTCAAAATAAATCTACTGTTGAAAATGTAATGAAACTTTTTTTTTTTGTTGAGAATCAGCCAATTATCAAGTTTTTTTTTTGTTTAACAATGGTAAGGTGGAAATTTTTGGTAGTTGATGATTTTTACGAACAATTACCATTACACATTTAAAATTAATTGACATGATCATCATTATGAACACTGGTGGTAAAAATGAAACTTTTTTTTTCGAGGAAGTAAAGATTGTGTGATATAAGACAAATCAAGTGATTAAATAAATTCATTATTTTCTTTTCTTTTGGTGAAATTGTGAATGAATTTAATGTCATCTAATATAATCAACGATCAGATTTTTTTAATTGTTGTTTAATGATTTTAACGGATTCATCATGTTTTTCAGACATTGTATATTGAATAAATTGATCGAAATTTTTTGACAGTCGAAAAAAAAGAAAAATTTTCAAATGTAAGTTTTTTTCAGTTGATTTTTCTCCCTTTACTATCATTTATTCCTGACACATCATTTTATTGATTGATTGAAGAAAATCGGTCAGTCGGTTTGATTAATCAAAAGAAATTTTTTTAAAAATATCCAATTCATTTGGTATTATCTCTGTAAAACCAATATTATAAACACCAACAATGAATGCATTGGAGTGAATGAACTAACAAATAATGATTAACAAAATAAAGAAATATAGGATCATCATTATATTTGTTCCGGTTATTATCAAGAATTGGTTGTTACGGTATTTATTGTGTTGTATACACGCCCAAACAATGGGATAATCGGATTTTGATTCTCATTTTCGATTGTGTTATAGACAACTAATCACTAGAATTTTCGCTATTATTTGTTGTTGTGAAGGTTCATGTTTGAAGCTGAATTCTTTTGGTTTATTTCGAATCATCTTTTGTTTTAACAAAAAAAAATTTACTTGTTACAGTACATCAAAGTTCAACATGTTTTGTCACATGAGATTCAAAAAGGAAATCAATAATACTTTTTTCATTTGATGATGATGCAATCAAAATAAACCTATTAAATCAAATTGTTTACAATAAAAATTGTCATCATTAATCGATTGAATTCAATTTCATTAATGAATTTATCTTGCCTCATATTTTATTGCATCATTTCATCATTATTAGGTTTTTGTTAAAAAAAAAGAATATAATTTATTAACATTGTACATTTTCTTATTCAAACAAAATGATTAAAATAGCATTAATATTTGATTATTATCATCATCAACATCATGATAATCGCAATACAAATATACAGGCATAATAAAGTTTCACGTTTGTCAACAACAACAAAAAAAAGGTGAAAACATTTAGAATGAAACATCAACAAAAAACAAAAGAAGTTCAGTTGAGAATTGAAATAATCGTTTGGATAGGAAAAAAAATAATGACAAATAGAGTTAGAGAAAAAAACTCAAACTCTACACCAAAATATACAAGATGTTCATCATTCATTCATTACAAAGCTAAAAATCTTTTTTTCAACATAGGAATTTTATTCGATTCTTGTATTTTGTTGTGTTTTGTTGTGTTGACAACGGGTAGTATAGTGAACTTTTGTAAACACCATAGGAACAATCGGTTTTTTATCTATTCATTCATATATCAGTTTAGAAAAAAAAACATTGAAAATGTCGAAAACAAATAGAATCTATTGATCCATTTGAACACATATAAATCGAATCTGAAGGCTTTCTCACAAACATTATAGATAGTGATCGATTTCGGAATTCTAGATAACAGAACAAAACAACAGCAACTACAAAAGCAGCATCAACAAAATTCATATCAATCAATTGATTCTTACATTTACCCAGAAAAAAACATAATAAATTATCGTATCTTGAAAGCATTCGATTCATTATATGTGTTTGTGTTTGCGTGGGTGTTTTAAAATGATACATTTTTTTGTTGTTGATAATTTTCATTTCCGATCATTGTTCGTAATCATTCATTAATTCTATACAAAATTAATAATTCTTTCATTTTATGAATAGCTTCATCGTTTTTATTCATGATGTATATTTAAGAAAAAAAAACAAAAACTCATTCCATTCAAAAAGTTAAATTGATTGATGAATTTTTGGTTTATTTGTGACAGGATAGAATTTCAACATTATTTATAAATTTATACTGAAAATTCTGTAATATAACATCGATATGTTAGACATGAAAACAAGTGTTTTTTGTTTGTAACATTGAGAAATTGTGTTCATACAAAAAATGATTTTTTTCCAAATTTTTTTTGTAGCAATTTATATTCTTGCATTTTGTTTATCAAGAATTTTGTTTTTCATATTGTCATATATATTTTTTTCGAGCAATCAGGACATACAATTTTTTTATTCATATTTTCCTAGCCCAAAATCATTCATTCATTTTTCCATATCATCATTATTTTGTCCACAATTCAAGTGAAAAATTTATTTGAATTCATTCAAAATTCATTTTACTTTTTCGCTCTACCTACCTACTCAGAATTCGGTCAAAACAAATTTTTAATTCAATCTTTTGCTTGGTTGACATTGTATTTGGCTGCCGGTAGTAAAAATGTAAAATTGATTTTGAAACAAAAAAAAATGTAACATTGCAATCACAATGTTGACTAATAAATTATTATTTTCTTGATATTGTTCCCTCCAGTATTCGTTTCGTGATGTCGTCGTTGTTTTTTTTGCGGATCAAATTTGAAAAAAATAACAAAATAAGCTTTTTTAGTGGAAAAAAAGTATACATTGCTTGTTAGTTTTTTGTTTAGCTGACGAAAAACTTTTTTTTGATCAGGTACGAAAATTGAAAAACAAATCAGTTTTCATGTAGAATTTTTTTTTCTATTTTACTTCTTTTATTCATTATCCATATGAACAAAATACAAAAGAGCCAAAAACCGTCAACATCATGCTTATAAAAAGCATTGTAATAATGTTCGCTTGTATACAAAATGATTTGCATTTATTTTTTCATAGAATCAACCCGAAACATATGAACAGATTTTTATACGAAAATTAAAAAAAAAATTGGTTGACAAATTCTATGTACCCCGAAGTGTTGTTCATACTGCAGAAAAAAAAGTGGCAATGAAATGAGATTAAAAAAATATGAACATCTCATTCATATTCATCTTTTCAAAATATGTAAAAAAATTATAACAATTCAAATCATATTATCTTTGACATCAATTCATTGACACTATCATCATTCATTATTGATGATAACAGGAAAAACACCATTGATTTTTTGTCATTATTTTCATTTGTTTATCTCTTACCCTTTTGTTAAGACCAGTATCAAATATTTATTTTGAAAAGTTTTTTATGTAAAAACTTTTGTCAAAGTTTTGGATAGTTCTTTGTTTACAAGTTTTTTTTTGTTTATATAAAGTATAGAATTTGCGGTTTTCTTTTTGTTCCAAATTCTTACTGTTCACCGAAATTCTCATTCAATATTTTCAACATCATTATTTGTCATCAATGAATAGAAAAAGTATTAAACAAATAACCCTCATAAACTTTGTCAGTATCTTTACATGAATAAATTACAAACACATCGCCTTCGAAAAATATTAGTTGTGAAGTGGCGAATATTCAATCAGTTTTGTATTTTTTTCAAAATATATAGGTTTTTCAATACACTTGTATCTAGGGAATCATTGATTCTTTATTTTATTTTTCATGAAAAAAATCACCCAGAATTATGAAGCATACAAAGTTTGATTGAAATTTCTACAATAAAAGGTTTACGATGAATCGACGATTACAAATTCATCTACACTGACTTATAAGTTTTCTAGGATTTTATGTCCATCCTTTAAAAAGTTTTAGAAATAAATAATTATGTAGCAAATCAAGGCATCAAACCCGGAGATTTTCGTGAAAATAATCTTATGAAAAGATCTCGAATATACAATACAATTGTAAAAAGTTTTTAACAAAAAAAAAATTCTTTGAACTAACGTAAATTCTAGGTCTTAGAATTGATACTCGAGAATGTTATTGATACAATGATCCTTCAAAAAGTCATTTCTTCATCATTTTTTCAATTAAGTAATCTGGATTTTAAATTGAGGGAAAGTATTTCAATCGAATATAATAATAATAAAAAAACAGAGTTTTAGTCATCAATAGATCTTTTCCTTAAAAAAATTTCTTGATACGTTTGTAATGTCAAGTGATTCGAAAGCAAACATTCATTTTTTTGCAGAAATTTTTTTACATATCTTTGAATTATGAAATATTATTTATGTAATAAAAAAATTTCTGGTCTTGAAAAAATTTGAAACAACAACAGATCCAAATCAACTTTCATTATCATCATCAAAATTGGTCAAATTATAAAAATTGTTTTTTTGTTTTCTATTTATTAGAATCAACAATTTTATTTTATATTATTATTATTATTATGAGAATACATTTAACATGTCAAATGCAATAAAGAATAATGATGTTCATAACGATTCTTGTTTTTGCAATAAGAGTTAATACTAACCATAATGATGCGTCAGACTAAGAACCGAAAAAAATTGCTTGATTAACAATGGATATAGATCATAAACAATTTGTTTGTTTCGTTTTGTTGTTCCAATGAGAATAGAATTTTGAAATAACAATGGTAATAACAAATAAATGAATTGTTTCTGGTTTATTTTCATTTTTCTTTTCACTAATATCTCTGGTTTTGTCATAGACGCGCAACTATATAATATTATTATTACTATTTTTTGTTGTGAATTTCAGTTTTTATTATTGCTTGTTACATATGGTTTTTTTTTGGATGATAAATAGTCTGTATACTGGGTCGGTGATAGATATACGCAATACAGAATGTATACAGAATTTGAACAAAATGTCCACCCAAATAACAAATACACAAAAACGAATTAGAAAAAATAATTTTGTTTTAGTGTTTGTTGATAATAAAAAAAATCAAGTGTATGGATATGATTGATAAGAATATGCCGTATTCTAATGAAATGAATTGTTTTTTTCAATATATTTTTCATTTCAGAACAAAAGGAAATTATTCCAAAAATCATTCTATTTCTAGAAATAATCGATGATTATTATCATCAATCTATTCTGTACTTATATCATTATAAATGTTCAATCATCATTATTAACAAATGATCATCATGGATACGAATGGCGAACAAATCATACCGGACATCGATATCAATATAAATGAACAATCAATAGTAGCATCATCATATGCTAATGCATTATGGACACCTGGCTTTATGCATCAAACAAATGAAACAACTTATGTTTATATTGATAATCCACATGATATGATCGATCCATTTCATTCGAATCAAAATTTTATGGCTATAGTATTGACACATGCTATAACATTCATTGTTGGCGTTATTGGTAATTCTGTTGTGATTGCTACATGGGCTCGGGGTGGAAAAATTCGTTCACCTACTGCCACTTTTCTTGTATCATTAGCATGTGCCGATCTATTATTGCTCATCATATTTATGCCACTTGAAACATTAGAATATTTTGTTATAACATGGGATTATAATGGTCATATTTGTAAACTAAGCTCTTTCGTTGAATTACTTTCGGGTATGTCATCTATACTAAATCTAGTGGCAGTTTCCGTTGAAAGGTATTTATTTTTGTTCAAATAAACAACAAATAGCTTAACTTATTTTTTGAAAAATAAATAAATTTCCATCATAAATCAAACATAGATTTTTGGTGATAGTATATCCAATTCATGCAAGACATTGGTGTACAGTAACAAAATCTCGCCGTAGCCTAATATTTGTCTGGATATTGGCCATTATATTTGCTGCGCCTCCTGTATTCAACAAAGTGAGTAAAATATATCTTTAAGGTCAATCCAAAAAAAAAGAAGGAAAGAAAATCATTCGAATTAAATCATTAATTTTTTTTTTTGCTTTGATTATTGACAAATTTACAAAATTTAGAGCACATATTCAATGACCTATTACAATAATGAAACAGCCATAACAGCTTATTATTGTTTTGAAAAGAATGATAATTGGGCGATATATTTTGCCATTTATGAATTGTTAACATTATTTGTAATACCTGCATTGCTCATGATGTTCTGTTATTCACGTGTAATACGTGAATTATGGACTTCAACACGTGTGATTACAATATTGACAAGTGCTACTAATGGTTATCATCATCATCATCCTATTTCAGAAGCAACATCAAATCATATAATGCCAAATAATAAATCGGCCATTAGTGAAACACAATCAATAGGCGGAAGTTATCACAACAACAATGGTAATAGTTTAACTAACGGTAATACTAATGGACCGCGTAGTTATCTTGTACGTTGGTCAAATAAAAAAATGATTGAAATATCTATCAATTGTGAACCATCATCGATTGTATCAAATTCATCCAATTCTAGTTCACGATCAATGAATCCTAATCCTATTGTTAATAATTTCAAAAATAATAATACAATTGTATTAAATGAAACAGAACTGATTGGAAATAAAGAATCAAATAATTCAATGATCAAAATTTTTCGATATATTTATAATATATTACAAAGAATAAAAATTATTAGCTGTGATAATCAGACAAAATCATTGAATGATGTGCCAAATGATCAGCCAAACAAATCAATACCATTATCGCCGTCACAACAGCTGCATCGAAATACATCACAATTTCAACATTTAGCGGCTCCATCAACCATAATAACTAATCATGGCCATAATGATAAAGAACAATCAGATCGACAAGAATCAGTAGATCGTCCCAATCAAAATATAGGATCAATATCACGAATTCATGAATGGTTTGGTAATCATCGAAAATTGAATAAACAACCATCTCAAATAGAGGAAAATACACCGACTTATTTGGGACATCATAATCAATCATCATCGATGATTGGTATACCGGCACCAACACCAACACCAATAGGTAATACATCTGAATACAATGCATCAACTGTTACCGATGTTCGCAATGCTCGAAGACAGGTATGTCATACGATATATAAATAAATGCATAAAATTTTAGTCTTGAATTTCGTTTGTTAACATTTAATCAGCTATATTGTCAAGTGATCAAAATGTTATTATTCATTGTGATATTATTCCATGTTTGTTGGGGTCCACGACTTATATTCAACGTAATTAAATCGACTGGAATCGGTCAATTCGATAAATTTGCCTATAGTGCACGTGTTTATTTTTATCTATTGTCTTTCATACATTCAGCATTGAATCCATTCGTTTATGGTTTTATGTCTTCCAATTTTCGGTGAGATTTTTTTCCTAGAATTTGATAAATAAAAATGAAATTTAACTAAATTAACTAACTTAACTAAATTAAGTTTACGTTTCTTACGTTTATTATTCAACAAGACGAATGATGATGAATTCGTGTAGTCATCGCCGTCATCTAAAACAACGTACAGGTACATTAACACCGGTAAATAATTCATTAGCTGAAGCAATGGCAACAACATCTTGTTTACCAATGGCTCGTACCGGTACAACAACTGGATATAAAACAACCCAACAAGCACAATCATTTTCAACAGAAAATTCTCATTATAATTATAATTATTATACGAATCAGCCATTGTCATCATCAATAAAACAAAATTCATATTCTGAAATTTCCGATTCATATGCTGAAGCAGAATTATCACAGACACCATCTACTGTTTGTAGTCATCGAATTTCTACATCAGTTGAATTTCGTAATTCATGCCATCATAATTGTCATCATTATCAAGAAAATAATAACATTAATAATGAAGATCCGGATTATAGTGAAGTTGAAATGGAAATTAATCAGATGATTGATCAGAAAAAACAGCAACAACAACAGCAAAATTCGTCGAATTTAATTGTTTCAAATTTAAAATATCCAAATCGATTGAAACGAATGTTATTCTCAATAAAATCATCTTCTACATCATCATCATCATCAAATGGTATCAGTATTGTTGGAGGCAGTTGTGGGGCTCGACGAACAACTATAACTACAACATCAACAATACCGGAACAAAATATTCGAAATAGCAATAATGAGCAATTGAAAACAGCTAATATTGAACATCGTTCATTGCCATCATTATTTTTAAAACGACAAAAACATCATCATCATCATCATCATCAATATCATTCAAAACGTTTACATCAAATAAATCAAGAAAGTAATTTGATTAAATCTAAACAAATAAATAAGAATGATAAAAAAATATTAGCCAATTCTTGTCATTCATTATGTTCACATAATTCATCAAATATTGCAGCAACGAAATATGATCCTAAACAACAACAACAACAACGACAACAACGTAAAGGCCTAAAGAAAAGTAGCCCCTACACAGAGAGAAATAATTTGCGTAACGTCCTTTTTGGACTCTACTTTTCTCTTAGCTACTTAGGTGGTTTCATCAACAGATGACGCTGACTTTAATTTTTTAATATTAAAATTCAAACGCTCCTGTTCAAAAGTTGCAGCAATATTTTTCATGAAAAAAATTTATTTTTTTCTTCTGAATTTTTTCTTTTTCTGATTCTTTGGGTTCTTTATTTGATTCTTTTTCGGATTCTTTTTTAATTTTTATTTTATTTTCTTCTCTTTGGCTTTTGGTCCTGCTTCCTTTGGGAAATTTATTATTAATTATTAAATTCAAATGAAACCTTTTTTGTGTTTATGTTGAAAGGAGCGGCCGGGATTCGAACCGATGACCGAATTTGATTTTTCCGATATTTGCCTTAATCTCGTTTCAAAAGCTTGATTTCTTATCGAGAACGCCAAAGATATGCCCAAACCCGTTTAAACCAAATGTTAGATCGACATTTAGATTAAGGAAATTCTTTATATTTCGGATCAGTTATAAAATTATGTATTATTTGTTGTGCATTCCGATAATAATAATAATTAATAATTAAAAAAACTTCAATTTTGAAAAAAAATTCAAGTTCGGCTTCGACTTCAAAAATTTTTCAGATTTCGATTTTAATTTTGAAAAAATTTTCAGAGTCCGATTTTAACATTAAAAATTTTTTAAGATTGACTTCGACTGAAAATTTTTCAGATTTCTGCTTTGACTTAAGGGAATTTTTTTAAAAAATTTGGCTTTGGACTTTAAAAATTTTTTAGTTCGATTTTAATTTTGAAAAAATTTTCAGAGTCCGACTTCGACTGAAAAATTTTTAAAGTTCGACTTCGACTGAAAATTTTTCAGATTTCGGCTTCGACTTAAGGGAATTTTTTAAAAACTTCGGCTTTCGACTTTGAAAATTTTTTAAAGTTCGACTTCGACTTCGAAAAANAAATTTTCAGAGTCCGATTTTAACATTAAAAATTTTTTAAGATTGACTTCGACTGAAAATTTTTCAGATTTCTGCTTTGACTTAAGGGAATTTTTTTAAAAAATTTGGCTTTGGACTTTAAAAATTTTTTAGTTCGATTTTAATTTTGAAAAAATTTTCAGAGTCCGATTTTAACATTAAAAATTTTTTAAGATTGACTTCGACTGAAAATTTTTCAGATTTCTGCTTTGACTTAAGGGAATTTTTTTAAAAAATTTGGCTTTGGACTTTAAAAATTTTTTAGTTCGATTTTAATTTTGAAAAAATTTTCAGAGTCCGACTTCGACTGAAAAATTTTTAAAGTTCGACTTCGACTGAAAATTTTTCAGATTTCGGCTTCGACTTAAGGGAATTTTTCAAAATTCGACTTTAATTTTTTAAATTTTAATGATTTTGTCACTTGATCTCGCTATTTCAACAGTTTTTGTATTCGATTTGTTTCAACAGACGACTTTCGAATGAAAATTTTGAAAATTGTGTCATGTGATCGCGCTATTTCGACAAAAATAGTCAAAAAATGTTAAAAAAGTCTAAATTATTTCTCTCTGTGTATTATTATGAACATTCATTTTAAACACAGATGTGAATGAATAGAGTAAAATTTGAATTGAAAAAATACAAAAAATAAAAAAAATAATCTGTCATCAACAGAAGTGTTGATCAATTTTACAACAATTGTGATGAACATACAACAACAAAAAAAAACTTTAATAATAATAATAATAAAATCCAATTGAATTTCTTTTTTGCCAGAAAAAAATCCATTCATTTTTTTCAATTTGACTGATCCAATTGAAGATTAAAAAGGTATATTTCGTGTTTGTAAATTTTTATTTTTATTTTTGAACAGAGAAAAAATAAAATGTTTAAAATCAAAAATAATGATAATAATAAAGATGCTGATAATGACAACCATTTTTTTTGTGTTCACTTTTTTTTTCAAGATTTAGCAAGGAAAAGGAAAATGACCACCACTACTTTGTGGATGACCACCACACCAATGAATACAATTGATACAACTGTGATTGTGGGTGGGTGGAGGCAATCGAAAATGATGATAATGAAAAAAATTCCTATAGCTTATTATCTTTTCATTTTATATTGATTATAGATTATCTTTTCAACAAAAAAAAAATGAAAAATAAACTAAATTTATCTGAACTTGAACTCAAAATTTCACGCTTTCACTAATATGATCTATATAATTTTGGATATTTGTTCAAACAAAACAAAACAACAACAAAAAAAATCCTAAATATTTGACAAATGCAACTTGTTTCGTTCGTAATTTCATCATTATTTGTATTGTTTTGTTTTGTTTTTCATTGTTGTTTGGGCGTACAAAGTAACAATTTATTATTTGACCAATAATTGAATGAATGAAATTAAGGACAAAAAATATATCACCATCATTATAATGAAATACGATCGAAATTAAAAATCGTCACAAATCACAAATCAATCTTATTATAACCATATTTAAAATAGATTTAAAAGTAAACAATCAATTTTAAAATACCAACAACAACAACAACAGCATTTGATCGAATTAATTCTTTTAAAAGACTATCTTTTTTCTTTATTTGTTAAAATCTTATTGCCAAAAAAATAAATTGCGAAAATTTACAGAAAAATTCAGGTCGACAAAATGAATGAGAATCGAATGTAAAGAATGAATAAGAAAGGACAAAAGAAATAAACATAGACAAAAAAAAATGAAAAGCACACAGGCGAAACTAATAAACACTTTCAATACGTAACACACACACGTACACTATAATTATACAACAAAAAAAAAATGGATGTGGAAAACAAAATCAAAAGCTACCAGCTAAATCCATTGATGCTAAGATTTCAATTTTTGATTTTGATTTTATTTCTTTTTTTTTTTTTTTTTTTTTTTTTTTTTTTTTTTTTTTTTTTGTACTTTTGAAAAGCGAACAAACAAAACAAAATCTATGTGTGTAAGTGCGTGTGTGAAATGATAATTTTTTTTTTTGGAAATGACAAATCGTCAAAGTAAGTAAAAGATTCATTGAATCACTGATGTGTTTCATAATAATGAATTTGTAATGATGATAATAATAATAGTAGTCGCCCTGGTATCACATAGGTAGGTGATGATTATTATTGAATAATAACTTTACATCATCATCGTTGTAATGCTGCTAGTTTCATTTATCATTTTAGTTTATGCTTACCCCATTTTTTTTATTGCCTATCATCATACATTCAGATGTTCCCCATCAGAACATGATCATGATCTACAGATACATGTTCGTTTTTGGATCACAATTTTTGATTTTAATTCAGATGTTTGTTTATATGGATAGAAATGCAAAAGGTCAATGTTAATGCCATGAAAGTTTTTTTTTCTTTCCTTGATTTGATTTTTATTTGATTTTGGCTGTTTTTGTTCATTCATTTTTTTTCTTTTCATCATTATTCAAAAATTAGTGATCAAAAATAAATCGGATTTGGTCAATTTTTTTCCTGAGAATAATACAATTAAATGAATGAATGGAGAAATGAAAATACAATTAAATTCCAACAAAAAAAAGTGATTCAAATTTCCATCTCTCTATATCACAATTTTATGCTATGGATAGAATTCCAAATGAAATGGAAAATCATTAAATGTTCGATTCATAAACGACAATAGTTGATTTTTTGTTTGTTAATCATGGGAAAATAAACTTTCAAATTATTTCCGTCTAAATAATTATTCGATATCGATTGTGAAAAATGTTATCGTTGATCGTAACAATATTTCACACGATGATTACAAATTAACACATTGTATTTAATGTATTGTGTGTGTGTGTTTGTAAGGTTAACACAACATCACAATGTTATCGATAATGATAATGATAATGATAATGATCACTTTTTTTTAATCAATGAATTAATTTCATTCTTTTTTTTTGCTTGCTACAATTATTGTTTTCAAACACCAGATTGATAGTAAATTATCTTGTATCTTGAATTCGTTCAATTAAAATTCATTTCAGATTTTTGTTTTTTTTTCATAGAAATATTTATTGGAAAATAGATCTAACTATTCTATTGTTTTGTATAGATTGTAATTATCGTAAAATCTGTTTTTTATGGAGATACAAATCAATTACAATCGATTTTAATTAATTTCATGTACTTTTTTTCCTATATGAATAATAAAAATAATTAATAATCAGTTTGGTTCGATTATCTCTATTTTTTCATCATTTATGAATTTCCATACAGATGTTATGATTTTTTTTCCAATTTCAATCAATAAAGATGATAATGTAGGAAAAAAAACGGTTTTATGATTTCAATTGATTCATCGATTCGAATGATCGATCAATCAATTTAACTGTGTAAAATAATTTTCAAATGTATACAAAATAAAAGCGTTTTTATTCAAAAAAAGAAAATCTCCATTTCAAATAGCGATTGATAATCGAATAATATATGATGATGCAGGTGTGAATATTTTTTGCTTTCATCGATTCGTATAACTCGGAAAAGAAACAAATTGTCAAACCAATTTCATCCATTAAATTAACATAACTTTATTATTAACAGAATAATAACTTCATTTTGAAACAGAACATTGGATTTTTTTCCAATAAATATTTATAATTTTTTTTCGTTGTCATTGAACTAATAACAACATTAATATGATATAATCATTTCAAATCATATCTATTCATGAAAAAAATGAAAATGAAAAACAGAAAAATAAGTAGAAAAAAGTAGGTGTTTTTCTGCATTCATTCATTCACTCATTTAATCTTTTCACAATTTTTTATTGACAATGTTGATAATCTAATCATTTTAATGATTGAAATTTAATTATTATAATTTACATTCAAACAATTTTTGGACTGACCAACTAAATAGATAGAAACACTCACATAAACATGGATAAACATGGACAAAATTTCAATGATGCCAAATCAAGATAAAAATAAAATGGTCATCATTATCTTCCTTCTTTTTTTATTATTCTTGTCAAGAAAAAATAAACTATCCGAACGATAACATCGGTGACAATCGCAAAAGCAAATGAAGAAGAAGAAAATTCATTTTTTCCTACTTACATCATAGAAAAATTCAAATTGGCTAATGGCTAAAATCTAAAGAAATTCAATCATTTGTGAACAACATTTACATAAAGTGAAAAAAATGTTCTTGTAATAAGATCTTCTAATTTGAATAAACGAGAGAAACAAAAAATTAGTTAACAATTCAATCATTAGTTTAATCAAGTCACACGAATCGAGGATTATTATTATTATTGAAATATATTTTTTGCTTTACTATTTTTTTAATGACAGAATAAATTGGCAGTGTTTTTTTTATTCGTTAAAAAATTTAAATTATAATTTTCATTCATTTATTTCTCAGAAACTAATTTTCAGTGTCAGTGTCTACTTTGGTGTTGGAAAAAAAATTGGTCTAATCATGTTGAAATCAGACATTTTTCAGACATCAGTATCTCAGATATACTAAGCATTTTAATTGATTCAACAAAAAAAAAATGATTTCTTTTTTAAATTCATTTAAAGCATCGTTTGATAATGAATTTTTTGTTGCTGTTGTTGTCAGTTTATGTGTAATGTTGGAAGTGAAATTGTTTTTTTTATAACGCCCGGTTATATCCGAATCAACGTAAGGCATATGATATAATAGTTTTTGGTGAGCCAAAACACTGAAAATGAAAAAGAGAGCATCGTTGGCCAAACAAACGGAAAACGAAAGAGAAATGAAATGAATGTTGTTCAGAAAAAAAGCACACTTGTTGTTGTTGTTGTTGAATTGTAATCAATCGAATAAAATGTAAAAAGAGAAAGTTTAAATGAATAATAAATCTATTGAAACAAACATTATGTACACAACCGTTATATGAAGATAAATGTGTATGTGTGTTTGCTCACAATTATATTCCAAGATTGTTCACATGTCTAATTCATACTATCGATGTGTCGATGGCCATTTTTTATATGGTCAGTTTTAAGTTAGTCTGTAGTAAGTCATTCGACAAGTTAGTTCATAGTGATAATACTGCCGGTAAAAAAAAATATTGAATTTGAAATGAATATTTGTTTTGTTTTTTTTTGTTGAAACATCAAAATCAATCCAATCGATCCTGTTAATGTTTGTCAAAGCAAGAAAACAAAAAAGATTTTGTTTTGTTTGTTTTCTATTTGTTTAAATTTATGTTTTCATCACATCGAATATAATCTTCTGCTACATACATTAATTTTGGTCCATTTATTTTATGTCAAAATATTTAAATTTAAATCTCAAAATTTATTCGTTTTTTGTATGTGATGATGTAATAAAGATTTTTGCTGTTGTTGTTTCTGTGATTTATTTAAATTTTTTTTTTCATTTGAAAAAAAACTGTTGTTTATTAATGATGTGTATATCATTTGATCCAATCGTAGAATAATGATTACATTTTATGGGTGTGCTTTGCCTAGTATACTACTTTTTTTTCGTTTTTCTTAAAAAAAATGTATGATTATCATGTCTCAGAATGTTTGATCATAATAAATGATAATAATTTAACAACAACAACAAATATAAATCGACAACAAAAAAAATTATATAATCAACAAAAAAAATATTGATTAATTACAACAAACAACAATGATGATGATGAAACAAAAAATGACGAGGACATTTTGGTCATCATCAACATGGCCAAATAATAATAATAACAAACAAATCATTATTAAATTGATAATGATAATGATTACTGTTTGTTCATTGATGGTGAGTTTTTTGTATGTTCTTCGTTTTTTTTTTGTTGACTACTAATGACACACATGAATACAATTAATAAATTAGATTTTGTTCTTGTTTTGCTATTCTAACGCAAATATTTTCAATTCTTTTGTTCAATGTTCATCATCATTTGGTGATGAGAATTTTTTTGTTTGTCTTTTTTTCACGATAAGACTATTCAACCGGGAAAACTAGAAAAGAAAATCAAAATAATGATTGTTTTTTTCTTATTTTGTTTTTCTTATTCTATTTTTTTATGTTTGTCTTGAAATTATTCCTTTTATTCTTTTGTTTTTCAAATGTCTGTCTGTACATTGAACGATAATCAAGTTGACACTTTTTTTTTGTTTCAAACTCTGATATGTGTTCAAGGTACATTCATTCATTGAATGTTATTCTAAATTTTAATTACAATAATTGTCATCATTATTGTAATAATAGCATCTTTTTTTGAAAGTTTTCCATTCATGTGAGGACTGCAACAAAAAAAAAAAACAATTGATAAAATGTATTTCCATGTCAATGCAAACAAAATTCAATTTCATCCTGGCACTTTTTTTTGTCACTTAATATAGTCATCATCATCATCATTATCAATAATATTATCATTATTTTCTCTAAACTATAGAAAAAATGATGATTTGATTTGATAATATAAAAAAATGTATTTTTCTTTTATTATCATCACTGTTATTGATGATGACAATGAAGAATAGAAGATTGAAATCAAAATTACTACTGTTATACAAAACAAAACAAAAAAACCATTTTGACGACAGATGGACCGACGGATAGGTTATTTTTAAAGCTTAAAAACTAAGAATTTTTTTTTGGTGATTCTATTGGTGATTAAAAAAAAAATATAAAATAAAATCCAACCATTTATCACAATAAGTAACAACATTTCTTCATCATCATCATTAAATTTTCACACCTTGTTCAATGCTTTCCATCTCTCACTCGCTCACACATATTTTTACAATCAAATGATTTATATTTGATTTTTCTCATATATTTTCACAATAATGATGATGATAGTGATGATAATATTATGAACATTGATTATAATCGATGCAAAAAATGATTGGAAATGAAATGTATAATATGGAAAAAAAACGGATCCCATTGAAAGTGAAAAAAAAACAAGAAGAAAGGTTTCTTTCACTTTCCGTCTTTAACCAAGAAAATAAAAAATATATCTCATTGTTGCTTAAAAGATTATTTTTTTTTTCACCATCATCTTTTTTTTGGTCTATTTATTAGTGATGTAATGTGGACATCAAAATAAGAAGAAAATCATTGATAAAATGACGATAAAAAACCTTTTTTCCTTCTTTGGTCCAGTTTTTTTTCGCATCATATTCACATATGGACAATTCAATTCGTTTCTGTTGTTATTGTATGTTGTACAATACTGGTCAGATCATTCTTTTTTTCCCTTATTCGAATTTTTCTATCATTAATCATTCAAAGATGTATGATATGTTGAAGAAATAAATTGACAATAGTTTCATGATCAATGGACGTGAAGATGTGTGAGAAAAGAAAAATCAAATTTTTTTACTTTACTTTACTCGGAAACCTAAAACAAACACATTAGTTTTTTGAACGTAGGCGTTAAAAGTGATAAACACACATACACACATATGCATGAGCATATGCGTGAACATTTCCATAGAAATAAAAAAAGTCCGAGTAAAAGATAATTCTATTTGATCATCATCAACATCATCATCGTTGTCAGATCAACAAAGAATGAATAGATTTTTTTTGAAAAATAAAAAAATAATCTTTTCATGAAAGTTGTTGATAATAAAAGAAAAAGATGAACAAGATTATTTTCACCTAACAGGAACAAAACAAAATTTTGCCCACCGAATATAGTGATGATAAATAAACAAACAAACAAAAACAAACAAAAACAAAAAACAACAACAACAAAAAAGATACAAGAATCTTGTGTCATGAGGCGACAATATGCATCCAACAAACATTCATTCATCCACCCACCTTGTTTGTTTTATAGTTAATTTTCTTCCCCAAAAAAAACACAAATTAAATGAATAAACAAACAAACAAACGATAACTTGAATCTAACTAAATATATGATAGATTAAACTTTATGACAATGGATCATCATCATTGTTGTTCAATCTGATTTACGAATAATGATGATGATAGTTAAGGGTGTCCCAAAATATAATTTTCGTAAAAATATGACATATGAATATAAAATACAGTTGATTTAAAGATAAACATACGAAAATTGTTGGCCAGGAAAATTTGTTACTATAATATCTGTCATATACACAAAAAAATGTGATTACAAATAGGAAAACAAAACAAAAAATTACCGGCTTATGAATAAAAATCTGAATAACTATAAAAAAACAAACATTGACAATATGATTTGATCGTAACTTTCATAGATTATAAGTTTAGCTATATTTTATTTAATCATTCATTCATTCATTCGTACAATTTCATTATACATTTGAAATTTTATTTTTTGTTTTTGTTTTGTGGTCTGTTTGAATTCAAATATGACAAGTGTTTCCATTTATTTTTGTTTCATTCTGGTCGAGTAAAAATGAAAATCAACCGAACATGACATAATATATTTAGGAAGCGGACAAAACTAGCCTATTTTATATTATTATTATTTAATCTAAAACAAATAATCAGTGTGGAAAAATAAACGACCCCAGAGACAATAAGGATTTTCTTGTTTTTCGGGAAAAAAAACTGTTTCTTTATTCATCAAATGTTACACATGAATGACAAAAAAAAAATCAAATTAATAAGAAAGCTACCAATATTTTCATTCGAATATTTCAAATTATCATTAATTAAATGAAAATTTATGTTCATTTTTATTTTAGTGTGATCAAATATTTGTTCAATCATCTACAATCAATGTGGATAAAAATATTTTCAACAGTGATATACATCAACATTTGACACCCGAAGAACGAATTGTTTTGCTGGGACATCATAAAGAAGGTAAGCTTTTGGTTAAAATTTCAGCAGAATTTACTGAATAATTCGGATATATTTAATTTTGATTTTTAAAATTTTCAAAAATCCAACATCAGTGCCTCAATATCAAGTGATATTATCCAAATCATTACGCACATCATCTTCTTATCATCAAAATCTAATTCATCATCATCAATCTCACTTTCATCATCGAACGAAACGTTCAATCAATTTAAATTCAAACAACAAAAATAATATTGCATCGGATAAAAATGAACCAATCCGAGTTGAATTTGAAGCATTTGGTGAACCATTTCGGTTACGATTATGGCCAAATCATGATTTATTATCACCAGGATTTCATTTAATCAATCAAAATCGGGAATTAATGAATAATTCTATCATTAATCAAGATGATGATTGGTCGATGCGTAAACATTTATCTAATTGTTTTTATCAGGGTTATGATGAGGCACATCATAATAGTGCAGCAGCTGTTTCACTATGTAGCGGTATGGTAAGTGATGATCAATATTTGATGAGATTTGTTTCTTCTTCCAATTGTGTAATTGGGTCACTAATTAGATTTGATTTATTCATTTGATATTTTTTTTTGCTTAAAATTGTAATAGCAAGGTGTAATCGAAACAAATCCATCAATTTATTTGATTAATCCAATACCTGAGACAACAAGTAAAAGGATTATCTCTTACACTAATAATAATAATAATAATGATAATAATCAATCAACGACAACATTATTTCAACATGATCATTATCATTTAGTATTGAAGAAAAATGATTATAATCATTATGAATGTCCACATGGATCAACTACTAATTCTAATAGCCATAATCATCATCATTATTACAATGATTTGCATTCAAAATTATCATCATCATTAATGATGATGAATAATCCTAATAATAATGGTAATAAAAATATTTTCAATCAAACACGTCAAAAACGTTCGATTGATATTGTAGCATCGAATAAAAATTATTTCGATGCTGATAGAACAACAACAAGTAAATCTACAACAATTACATCATCAACAACTATATCGCCAACAACGGATAATTCATTGTTTTCATCAACTATAGAAAATCAACCGGAAAGTATTAATGAAATTAATGGTGATCATCATATAAATTCAACCACAAAACCAACATTTAATATAACAGTCGAAACGGCCGTATTTATTGATGAAAGTTTATATCATGTTTTGTCAAAAACATTTCCAATCGATACTGAACAACAAATAGTTCTTTATGTATTGACAATAATGAATGCCGTACAATTATTATTCAAACAACCATCAATTGGTCGGTCAGTTGATATTTCTGTCGTATTAATGGATCTATTACGACAACAACCAAAAGTAAGTGAAACAGATATTCATTTGAATCTAGATTTATAGATAATTATTATCATAAAAATCATGATTAGATTTAAATTTGAGATACCAAAATTCATTTATTCAAAAAAAATGAGACAAAAAAAAAGGAAATCAAATCAAGATTTTATCTAATGTAGATATTGATTGATTGATTGATTTGTCTAATTATACTGAATAGAAAAGTTTTATATATCTAGCAAAGGTGAATAAATTAACTAGAAATTACAATTATAATTGTCTGATCAAATTATGTCATGTTATGGTTTTATATGATTATTATTTATCATTGAATTATGTATAAAGTTCAATGAGTAATTATGTTAATTATGATCATTATCATGTTAATGATGGCGGCAACGAACAGTTTTTTTTTTTTTGATTAGTATGCATTGATTATGGCCGATAGATGAATTTTTTTTGCACAACAATACTAACTTTAAAATGAATGTGGTCAGATTGGTATTTTGGCTGCTGATCTTTAGGCCTTTAGAGCGATATTTTTCAAATTATTCAATGACTTTTCAATGGAAATTTGATTTTTTTTACCTTACATCATATCATCAATACCTTATATATCATATCGAGCAGTTAAAATAATAATCAAATCAAATCATTTCCTTGACCACACCAAATAAATATAACAATTAAAAACAGTGAAAAAAAGCAATAAAAAAATGTTTCGTTGTCTTTTTTTTTGCTTTCGTTCATTGTTTCAATGATGTGATAGTTTTGTTTAGAATACAAAAAAAAACGATGATGGATCGATCGTCATATGAGATTAATATTTTGAATTGAAAAAAAACCGGCTACAGCATATATACCATATTTAGATATAAATCAAATCAGGAATCTTAAATGTCTATATATCATTGATCAAGAAAGGTGAAAAAAAACAACACAAGCATCTGGTGATTGATAAAGATACGAAAGGAAAAATGAAAAATTGGAAATTTTTAAAAAGACAATAAAATGTTTCTTTGTATTTTTGGAACACACAAAAAAAATCAATTCATTGATATCATCATAAAGGGTTTTAAAATGATAATGATAATCACACACACACAGGTGGCACCTATCATATTCAAAAAAAGAAAAAAGAATTCATTGCGGAAATCCTTATTTTAAAAAAATGATTGAATGAATTTTGCAGTTTTTCATATCTTAAATAGACAATATATAGATCTTATGTTTTGTTATATTTTCTTTTTTGACATCATACATTTATAAATACCTCATAATCATTCATAATGAAAATCGAAATGAAAATTTTGCTTATGAACAAAGAAAAAATTCTTAAAACTTGTAAATTGTTTCAAATTTACAAGGTTAACTACACACACATGAACAAGATTAACTAATCTTGTGTTTAAAACATTGCTTGAAGAAAAAAAAATTGATTATCATTGTTTCAAGCTCATTCAAAATAGATCAATTGCAATTTAAGTTCTACTTTTGACTAAAATTGATCAATCAGAAAGCTTTCTTTTAAAGTTATATCTACAAGCAAACAAACAAGTAATCCATCATCATCATTATGATCATTTGGAATTAGAGAAAAAAGAAACAATCTCAATTTGGAATCATCGATTTGATGATGAAATTCCAACGAATAAAATTGAAATTGATCCTGATTCATATCATCTATATGTATTTTCAATCACTATTTTTGTTAATCAAAAAAAAAAATAAATAAAGCAAAGATCAAGATATAATTTACAAAAAAAAAATGAATGATGCAAGGACTTTTTGGCGCAAAATTGGGCGTATGTTTGAAAAAAATGACTGCGTATCTTGGGAGACATTTGAATCAATGACAACAACAACAACGAAAAAGCTTCTCAAGAAAACTCAATGAACAAATGGTTAGAGAAAAGAAATGAAAAAACATTACATGTATGTGCATTACATGTAATATCTATATTTATTAATAAATCAATTTGATTGCTTGAATTGAAATTGCATTGCTGTTATAAGGAATACGATGAAAAAAAAATATCAAAATGAGGCAAATCTTTAAAATCTAGATCAGCTTTAGGTTGCTTTGTTCATTTTTTTAACGTTGCAATGAGAATTTTTTTTTCGTATTGTTTTAATTATTTTGGAATCAAAATATAATGAAAAAAATAGTAAGTGAACACAACATCATCGACAGGTGTTTCGATCGATTTCGAATCAATCAATTGATTGATCAATACAAAAGAGAGATCAATGACGTTAAACAATTTGATTCGCGATTCTCGATGACAAACTTTTTGTTGATCATTGATAATTTTTTTTTCGTCGAAGAAAATTAGAAATATTGACCAAGAACATCGTGTGAAAACAATCGATAAAATCATATTATTTATCAAATTCTCACCTTTAACCTTACTAGCAGAAACAAAAACCAATCAAATAATTGATTTGAATCTCCAATTTTTTTAGTTTTAATAAAAAAGGCGTAAAACTTGATGGTCATTTATAATCAAACAAAATAATATGATATCAATGACAGTTGGCGCCCATATTTAAACTTTGGGGTTTTTTTTGTTTTGTTTTGTTTATTTTTGTCCTGTTTTTGGATAAAATTTTCAATATAATTTGATAAGAAAATCCTAATTGTCCAAACACACAGTATAAGGAAATTCAATTTTTTTTTCAATTTGATCAAAACAAAATTGAATATTAAAGATTTCTAAATTTAGACACTGTAATAGCCGACATTGTAATTATATATTTTGGAAAAAATTTTGGACAACAAATAAAAATATAAAGTATTAGATCAATTCCTATTTGGATCAAGTGAAGAAAAAAATTTTGCGTCAGTCAACCAACTAGAAATTCAGTCAGGTAAACACTGTTAGAATTTTTTTTCAATTTTTGTTTTGTTTTTGTTTTGTTGTTTTGGTTGGTGATAATCACATAAAAAATGTTGCTCTGAAACAAGTGTGTTTGTGGAAAACAATTTGATCGCTCCGTTGATCCGATAATATTCAATATTTTTCATCGAGAATATTGTACTTTATATCGATATAATGATTAGCTATTACTACTATCTATCATTCGTTTTTTCCCTTTCTTTCTCTTTTTTTTTTGATAATTTTATTCCTTTTATGTAGATACTTTTTTTCGTAATTATTACTGTTGAATTAATAATGAGAAAAAATGGGGAAAAATGATTTTTCAATGGGGTCGAATATTATATTGATCCAAATTAAATCATTTTGATCTAAATTCAAGTTTGATTTTCAAGTCTCATATTCAATTTATGATACAGAAGCTTGATTTCATTTTTTGTTTTCACCAATCAATATTTGATCGAAGAAGAAGGTCAACGGCATCATATTTTGTAGCATAATTGGTAATTTTATAATAATACTGTTTTTCCAAAATAAAAATTGAATGGATGATAGTGAATTTATTTATGTAATTATCAATTATGATCAAATAAATCATATCAAACATAATTTTTCTTTCGTTGTGGTATATTCATTTAAGCATTTATTTTTGTTTTTTATGTTATTGTTCATTCAAAGGAATGGAATTTTGCAAAAAAAAACTGATTGAATTTAATCTTAATTAAATAACGATTTTCAATTGTTAGGTGTGTGTGTGTGTTTGTCCATGGAATGATGATTATGTGTGTGTGTGTGTGGTCCAAACAGATCAATATGGCAAATAAGGAGATAAAACAAACAAAATCAAATAAGGCGTTGTCATTGTCATTTATTATTGAAAATGAAATAAAAACGGTATGAGGCGTTGTCAACGAGATTGATGAATTGATTTTCATTGTTTTTTTTTTTTGTTTTATTGTGAGAATGTTAACCACATAAAACACTATACATTCACAACAGGCATTCAATTTTGTTTAAATTAAGAATTCCATTCAATAATTCAATATTCCATGACAACAGTTTTTTGTGTGTGTGTGTTCGTTCATTGTGATCATTATAATGAATTTAAATTCGTAAATTATTGAAAACATCATCATCGATTCATAAATTTAAACAACAATATTTAAGCTGTTACATTTGCTCAGCAATTTTTTTTTGGAATGTTTGTTAAAAAATAATCCATTAACTCTCTGATTACTACCGAAAGAAAAATTAGGTAGTAATAAACAAAATCAAATCAATCATTTCATTATAATTGTTGGTTGTGTGTATGATAGAAATGTGGATCAACAACAACAACAAAAAAAAATCATTGCCGAACAACAGCGAAAAATATTTAGTTTTTTTTTGATCGTGATGTTGAATGTTGAAATGAAAAGTGTGTGTGTGTGTAAAAGATAAAAAATTAATGACATTATATGATTTTTTTTCTTGCATATATAATTATCGATCAACAACTACTGCTGAAAAATAATCTAGTTTTATTGCCAATTGATAATAATTATCGGTAAAGAAATGAAAAATGAAAAATCCCCGTATTATTGAGATATTAACTTAATCAAGAGAAAAAAATAAGATCATCAGGTAGTTTGTCAAAAGAAGGAAAATAACCATTTTAACATCAAATGATGACAGGCAACAAAATTAATTGACAATTTCTTTTTTTTTGCGATTGCCTGAAATATCTTTCCGATTTTCATGAAATTAGGCAATGATTTAAGGAAAAAATGAAATTTGTCCTATATTAGATGATCACATAAGATTGATCAATATTATACTTCCGAAATATCAAAAAAAAAATCCACATATCCATACAAACATCAACCTGATGAAATGAATATCGTAATTGAAAATGAAAAAAAAATCATTTATATTTTCATGTCAAAATTGACTATTGACGATTGGTTATTGAATTGAATGATTCTCAAAAATTGATATCAAAATATTATCATTTTGAATTAAAGAGAAGTACTCAAAAAAAAATTATGAATTAATTTCTCGGAAAAATTCTCGGTCAATTTTCAATTTTATGATTTTATTCCATTGAAAATATTTTTTATCATCATTCTATTCAAGTACAAAAAAATTGTCAAAAATGATTTTAAA